TTGACTTTACTTCGTTTTCCTACAGTGCAAGTCAATCAGTTTTAACCGTAAATATGCATAACCATATATCAAACTATAAACAAATCTTCACAACACACATTTATTGATGAATCCAACTACAGCTTTACTATAAAAAATAATTTCAGCTTTGTAGAAACGTGAAGCACAGTGCTTACAATATCAAACAACATACACATGCCAATAATATATATACTATATATAATCGTTAGATATGTACAGTTAAAAATATATTAATAGCATTTTTGGTATTCAATATTGCCACAACACGTTTTTGCTTCTTCCCCTTCCTGTGTGTATTTCAGTGATTTCACCAGCTGTTTCGCGCTCTCTCACTCACTCGCGCTCTATGTGCCTCTTTCGCACACACATCCGCTACTATTGGTTTAATAAATAATTTTTCTATTTTTTCATCTGTTTTGCCATATTGTTGTTATTGTATTTATAATTAATTTATGCAGTTGCTGCTATTGTTGTACAATAAAATTTTCATTGACACGCAAAACCAGTTGGAGCAAACGCTGCAATACAATGCAATATTCAAAGCCAGATACATGTATGTGAGTAAATCTGTTTTGTAATTTGATAAGCTGTTGTAGGGAAAACCATTTTTACACTGTTTGAAGGCGGATTAAATGAAAAAATGTGTCAAAGTAGATTTTATAAATTTGGAACAATCTTTGTTATCGAAAAACCAACTTAGAAGATCAATTCCTTATCAACATTTAAGTCTTTAGACCAATATTGCGTACCAAATTCGCTTGGCTTCTATTTCTGGTTAMAATTCCTAGGTGCGAAGCTTTAAATAGAGGTCCTAAATATTTTAGTATGCTTCCAAATGACTGAAGAATTTGCATAAGACTAGAGTTGTAGGTTTCGTGTTTATAAACAACTGCAAAGTGTTCTCATTGAAATGTTGCGGAAGCACCGAGTATAATTTGTATTTTTTGGCTTCAAATATAGATCTGCGATGTTGCCAAATTAAAATGATTAACAAGCTCAGGAGCCCAGCTTTTTYATTTGCTTCAAATTCATAGCAAAATTGGAATGTGAACGCAAAATGATTAAATACTGATGTGAAAGATATAATATAGCACAATCTGAGTAAGTAGTGGTTAGTCCAACAGCTGCAATATTTCACATTAAAAAAGTGATCGTTTTTGATTTGGGTTTAGAACACCGTGATCTGAATAGGATTTTTATGGTATGTTGATACTTTGAAATACTCATATTAAATTTACAAATCTATGAGACACTATAATGGGGATTTAACAATTGTAACACTACTCTCGTTTATTCTTAATAAGTTCTCTGAGAACTATAACAATATATATTCAGGTAAATGTTTTTCATTCAAGTCCTATTGTGTAAGGAAACCATGAAAACAGTGTTTACCGAATTCTCCTGGAATTTTATAAACTGTTTGAGAATTTTTGTTGAAAAGTGAAATGGTGGAATGACACATTCAAATATCTCGTAGTGTTACTTATTACACAAAAACTGAGCATAATTCTGCATAATCAACTCAAAACTTTAAACACTATGACTTAGTTAAGTAAAATGAGTTTTAGAATTCAAAAATACTAATATTCTAACRCACTGAAGTAATATCTGGAATTTATAAACTATATGGTTAGGTCTTCTACTTATAAATGATGATCGTATAAACCTTTATTAAACTTTTATAGGACTCTGCACACTATAAATTGATGCAGTTCTGATAAGTAATATCTATGGCTTACTAGAACTTATAATTTCTTCAAAGGTTTGAAGAAAACTTTATAGTAATATCAGATAAGACATCTAAAACTTATTTAATGAATGAACAGAAGCAAGCCACTGTTTAAAGAAAATAAATTATGAGAAGCTGATCTATACGCACAAGTCCTTAGAACATTTCAGAATATAAAAATGATTATTGTAATCAAAAGTACCTTATATGAGTGTTTTGTAATCCAGTTTTTAGCATGGAACAGAAATCGAGTTTTCCTGTTCTGTTTTTCAGGTCTTAAACACAAAACTAGTTCGAGAGTTCTAACCATTCCCATAGATAACGATGGTACTAGTTACTTCGAGAAAGCGAACCAAAACCGAAACCACGCAAATGAACTCGACACAGACAACAGTGAGAGTTCAATCGAAGAGTATGAAAATTTATAGAAAATGAGAATTCATGCAAAGAAATCGTTAAGGAAAAGAAAAACAGCTGCATAATTGCAGCATTTGTTGATATGTACAACAAAAACTATAGCCAAAAGAAGCCAAATCAGTAAAAACGTAGAAACAATCAATACAACAATAGCAACAACTAAAGAAAAATCAAAGACAACAAACATAGCAAAGGCTTTTACAACAACAATAGTAAAATCAAAAGCAACAACCACAGAAAAATCAAATACAACAACCATAGCAAATTCCGTGCGTATTATTACAACATCGCGAGCAAATCTACACATGCCAATGCACATACACGGAATAACAAACAACATAAGCGAAGAGAAAAGCTATGTATGTGTTTATAGAAAATAAATGTAATATAAAACTAACAAATAGCAAACGTGAAAAACAGGTAATCGCAGCATTTGAAAAACATTGTAGAAAAAATTACAAAAACAGCAACAACAAATCACGATTACACCCATCGATTCGGTGAACAAATGTCTATCAATATTGGCTATCGTGCTATCGTTCAAAGTGCGGTAAAACCTAAGCCGATAAGGCACATTGTGARATATATGGGCTTATGAGTAAGAGGCTAAGAAAAATAGGCGCAGTTTTGCCCACAATAATTCAATCAATCTATAAATCGATGAGGCAATGGGAATTACTAAAGAGATAAAAAGAAAATTTTTCAAATCTATGTCAGCTGCCGATCCTAGATTTCCAGTCCGTTTTACATAATTTAGTAGAGAATTTTAAATGGTTTCACTTGGAAACAACTTCAGATAAAAGCTCAGAATTATTAAAAATGGTGCCAAATTAAAAAAATTTAAACWCGTGTTTAATGTTTTGAGTTTATGAGCAAGTTTGCTTATTGACGAGTTGTAAGAAACTGACTGTATTTAAAAACATTGATTGTTGAGACATTGAAAAATTAATTTCCAAATAGAATAATAGTAGTCTTAATAAATATTATAAGGTCTTAGAAAGCTAGTTTAAAGATAAATTTTGTTTAACTCTTAGTATATGAGTAGTGTTTCATAATCAACATCAAACTCTATTTTATGCTATATTCATTTTCCTTAACTCTGTGTTTGTAAGTGATGTTTAACACTAAGCACCAAAATAATCAGTCAACTCCGGTTAACGACGCAATCCTTTTCCTTAATTCTGGATTTGTCTATATTTTTTATATTAACCACCAAAAAGGCAATAAACTCGAGGTTAAGACGCAGTGTGAACGTACTCTMAAGCTGAGTCAGTGAATTACAAACAAAAGACATTTGAGTCACGGGCTCAATACAAAATTAGAGTAATATATCTATAAGGTTATATAACCTTCGAGAATGGCTATATCTATAGTCAAAACTAAGGCATTAAAAATTATTATAGCAACTTTAGCTTACAAATTTTTATTAAACTGTTTTTCCCACTAAATATATAGTTATATATATATCAATTACTTTTCTCGACATTCGTTAATGAAATCTTCACACCTCAAACGAAATCACAAAGCAAATGCATTGAGTAGCTCTACAGCTGCAGAAGAAGCAGAGCGTTGAAGTAWAAACAAGCTTATATAAATATGTCTAGATTAACATGTATATAAATACATTCTGCTATTTGCTTGTGTATCTAAATATTGATTTCAAGAGCAACCTTGAGCGCTTAATGAGCTGTTGTTGTCGCGTTGTCGCTTTGAATAGCAGAATCAAATTTTAATTTCTAAATATTATATAAACCATATTCGATTTCAAAGGTCACTGGCTTACCGGCCACCACACACGCGCACACTTTATCATGCGTTTACTCACTTCAAGACTTTATTGCAATGACTGATGATTTGATTTTAATCTTAATTTAAGATAAAATTGATTTTAATATTTTTTTTTTTAATTTGAAAAAATTGCGTTTTTGGCGTATTAAATATTCAAATGCAGTTTTTTGACTTGATTTAATTTGAGATCAGATTCAGTGGCGGTTTTTCACGAAAAAAATAATATTTAACTGTAAGCACATTTATTTATCATTTTATCAGCTGACTCATATTCATTYTTTGCATTTTGATAAGTTTTGAAATCCAAGTATGAAAAATCTCAAGTTAAGTACAAAAACTGGTGACACTAAAAGATCATTTCAACGAATTATTAGTTTCGACATCTCATATAGTAGAGATTTTTTTATAATTTTTTATAAGACTGCAAAACGCCATGTAATATAATATATAAATTAGAATACAAATATATATTTTTTATATTAGTGTAAAAATTTAAACTGCATATATGAAAAATATTAATATTGAAAAATTCAATTTCAAAATAGTCCTATTATTATTTAGACCGAAACTATCAAAGAGTCATTTCTTTGAACTGATTTTTTAAATTTGATTYGCTTACTATTTTTAGGAAACGTAAGAAATCAAATAAAAATCTTGTTTTCAACTTACATTTTGAGAAAAAATACCCGGAAATTGTAATTAAATTCCCCGGGTAAATGATATTTCCAAAACATTAATTTTGCTAAATTGGTACGACTGTCCTTAATTCGTATTCAAAATATGAACGCGATGTGTCAGCCAGTTTATTTACTGTAGCTACTTAAGTCGGTATACGTCAGTAATGCGTTTCGATTATTACAATAGATGGAGAATTCGAACAAAGAATCTTCTAATCACATTTCGATTGAGACCTTCGATCCCTTCAACTGATGAAAATATTAAAAATGTGAAGGATATGGTGCTTGAAAATCGCCAGCAAGTGTTAGAGAGAYTGCAAAAGAGCTCGGCATATCGCGCGAGTTCGATCTAATACTGTTGGTAGTATTTTGAGTATGAAACCCGTTCTTACTCTACTGCCTGCATTTTTTTCAAAAAGAGTACAATTGTGACCKAGTTTAAAGCCAACATCACCGTATTCAYCAGATTTGACTTTGTGTAATTTTTTCTTGTTCCCTAAACAAAAATTGCCGTTCCGTGGAATTAGTTTTCAATYGATCAAAGAGACAAACAAACAAAATTCGCTGAAGATAAACCCAAAAAGTGTTCAGAAAAAGTGTTTTGAGGATAGAAGAAAKCATCGACATAAGTGTATGATTTTGAAGGTGGCAAAATAAATATTGATGAATAATTCAATATTTAGCGCTTTATTTACATATTCCGGCTACTTTTTTACACAATTTTGTTTATAATAATTTTTGAGCAYTTAGTTAAAAAAATTTCACGGACCAAACATTTAGGAAGAGTCCTGAAATAAATTACAAATGCGAAATTACAATAATTAATTAAAAAAAACTTTATAAACATTTCTCTACCTTTGAATCAAAAATAATGTATTAACTGGAATAAAAATTTTTAGATCTTCCTTAGGAAAAAAAATTTAGAAAATTATTTATCTGTTAATTTTTCATTTCCCAATGTTAAACGATTCTTATATAAATTTRGGTTCTAATTAAATGTAAATCTTCTCAAGAAAAATTAATATTTCACTTCATTGAATTTTTTTTTCAAAATTCTTAATTAATAATTTTGTCAAAATTCCATAACATGTGTTTAGATTTAGAATAAATTTGCACTACATAAAATAAATGTACTGTCTAATTAAAATTATAATATTAGGTTTTGTAAGACTGAAATTTAAAAAGATGAAATTTATTTTATAATATTTTTTGCAGTGAGCAAATTTAGTAGTTTAATATTTATAATAAATATAAAAAGACGTCTCTAGAACAAATTTTTTGTGAAAAAAAGTTGATAAAATATAAGTAAAACTTCAATCCAAAGTTCAAACTAGCCAATTTGATGTAATTATATTTTTATTATGAAATTCGGTTAAGAAATTATTGTAAAGAAAACTCATAAGTAAACATGCAAAAATGTTTCCACACTATATACAYAAATATGTACGTCTCGTCACCTAATATGCAAATTAATTGAAACAAAACTTGAAACAATGGTTTCACATATTTCTCAAAGGAATATGTCACAGATTTTTTTTCGGCACCAAATTTTGATATTTTTTTGAAGTTGTTAAAACGGAAAATGGTAGTAAAAATTTCCTAACACGTGCAATTYTTTTCGTTGTAGTACAGCGGTGTGRGGGTCAAACTACCAAAAGTTTATAAAATTACAAAAAAATGATAGTTCGGTCAAATTCGATTTTTGAACTCAAATTCATAATCACCCCACAGACCACTTAGTACATCAGTAGCAAATTGTTCCTTCAGTTCACTATTAAGTARTGTTTTTAATTGTTTTAAGTGTTATGACGGATTAGAAAATGTTTATTATTGTTCAAATTATTCTTTTTTTAATACTAAAATTTCGAAAACTTTGATTTCTTTAATATCGTAGCATTTTTTCACATTTACCATATTAAAGATATTGAAATCTAATCTGAAATTATTTACAATTTAAAAAACTATTATTTTGAAAAATTTTATTTTAATAAT